TGCCATCATGGTTTTAATTAATTTATGTATTTAAAAAAAAGTTAAATTTTACCCCATTAAAAATTCTTCTAGACTAAACACACATGGATGTTTATTGTAAATATAACATTTAAGATTAATATTAAATGCACTCAATTTGTATACAATTTTTTGGAAGGTTTTCCAGATATGAGTAGTGAAAATAAAATAGCATTGTTGCAAAAGTTGTTGATAGTGATGGATTATATGGTGCCAATTTTTGATCATTTGTCCATGTAGCAAATACATTATTTACAATATCCTATAAAAAAGCTCATTGAAGATAATAATAATTCTCATATTTCATTTATTGTTTGTTTCTGCAGATTCATTCTTGAAATAATAGCTGGAGTCACATGAATAATTATTAGTGTTATATTTATTACAAATTGGTCATTTACCAGTTGGAGATGTGTGTGATGGCTTTAGTTAGATGAATTTGTATATAATTTTAAGTTGTAATTTTTAATTTTTTAATTAACTGGACAAAAAGTTAGGTATTTACATATTTTTCTTTTCCTTCATATGAATATTTACATTTTGAATTTTTTTTATATTATATGACACATGTTAATAAACCATCACAGGAACATAGGTGATTTTTGAAAATTATCACCATTGAAAATCTTGTACTAATTTCTAGGGTTCTGTATATAATATTACTATTACCCTTATAATGAATGAACCTACTTGGGTATAGTTTTAAAGACAAGTTCATTAAGGTTTGCTTTATTAATATAATGACCATTTTCTTTCATTAATTAATGCATTTTGAAATGATGGACAATGCGCACATATGATTGATGAACTTCTTTAATATTTGGATCGTACCATTGATTCAGAAAAGCATTATGCGTTTAATTAGTTTAATTAATTAATTATTTGTTTATTACTAAAAATGCTAAAAAAATTTTTTACTATAATTATCATATGTGCTCTTTTTTTTGATCATTGATTTACTTTTAAGAAAAGCATATTGGAGAAAATTTTATATTATACTATATACTCAAATTAAATGCCCGCCTTTTGCTTTTGGCTGAATCACTGTGTAATTGTGAACTACTGAGAAAGTAATGTTAGAAAATTTTTATCAGCTATCAATAGCCGATTAACCGTTCAAGGGATAGCAACAAGTAGCAAACAACAATAATTTTTTGAGGATGATAATAAAGATTATAATCCAATTTTGTTTCATGAAAATATTCAAGTTATTCAAAAAAAAAAAAAAAAAAAAAAGGGAATGGCTGTCCTATTTATATGTTTTGAATTTAATAAAATAGACTATTGTCTTGGCCTGAATGATGTCATTTTTTGCTTTTTGCGATGCAATCCAAACCCAACTTAAAATAAATGAATTTTGTTCTTGCGTAGCAGAAGCTCACATTTCGTTCTCAGTTGTAAGCTTGTTATTGTAATAATTAGGAAAAAATCTTGCAAAGGTTTTTTAGGCATGGATTGGATTCTTAATTAACTTTTTAGTGCGAATCAAATAACTTACAAACTTGTTTATTAATATCGTTGCGCGAAATTTTCAATGTCACAAAGGAAAAAGTCCAAGTTCGTAAAATTATTGCAAATGTAGTAAGTAATACTGCGATATTAATAGAAACTAAAATAATAATACTTTGTTTGATATATTATTTGATTTTAATTAAACTTTTGCGAAATTAATTACAATTATTAAATTCAAATTACATATATGAATTAAAAAATCATGTTTTTCAACATCAGTAACTTGTGTTATTGAAACATTAAACTCATAAACTTGATTATTATACACGATAAATCTATTGCTTCGTAATCGAGAAACCCCAAGTCTTGATATTTTTTTAATAGTTCATCTAGTGCTTCATCTTTTTCCAATAAATTTCTTGCTGACAATCTCAATTTAAGAGGCTTGGGCCCTTTCCAATTGTTCATCAACAGATATAAAGTACCATCAATATCGACTTCATCGTCAAAAAAATGGACTCTTTCTGCAAAAACAAGAGTATCCAAATATTTTGGTAATGCTTGATTTAACACATTGAGTATTCTATTTCCATTTAATGTATAATATTTATACGATTTGTCAAATACAACATGCTTCAAATAAGTACAGTTTGTGAATATTTCCATTAGTTGCTCATTTAAATCATTTCTATAAATTATAGACAAATATTCCAATTTTTTACAATTTTCCCCGATTGACTGAAACAAATTTCTTAGTTTTTGTACATCAAGTGGATCGCCTTTAATTGCAAAATTTCTAATATTTTTTCCATTCAATTTAACAAAGTCTGCCAAGTCTAATAGGAATGTTTGCCGAAAAATTTCAAATTGCACGCATTCTAAATTTGGAAATGATGTGTATTTGAGAAATTTAACATTGTTAACAAGACTACCATTGATGATTAAATTCTTTAAATTTTGAAATGATGGTAATAATAAAGTATCTACATTATTAACTCCATCACTTTCATAATAAACTATTGATCTCGAATGTTTTGATATTGCATTTAATAATTCATCTGATAAAACAATATAGCCAGAGCTGTCTGATTGAACATGTAATTCTATGATTTTATTTTGCATTCCAATTAGTTTAGCTAGATTATCATTATTGATTCTAAAATCATAGTCATCATCATCGTCATCGTCATCATCATCTTCAATATATATATTTATTGTTAAAACTTCAATTTTTTTGCAAGTTTCCGCTAATCCATAAAATAACCCATCATCATCGAAAAATTCACATTCCAATTCATATAGATTCTGAAAGCAGGTACTAAATCCAGGATAATCAGTCAACCATTCCAATTTTAAATCATATGTTGAAAACACTCTGATGGCTGTTGAATGATCTAAAGTAAAAATTATTAGTCTTCTAAGTAAACATTCAAACTGTTTGTCATCGCAATCATTTATCAGTTCTTCAATATTTTTATCAGTCTCTGGAAATAATAATTGAGTAGCAAATTTTGCGTAATTGTATAATAATGGTTTGTCTAATAACTGAAAATTCAATCTAATGCCATTTTTTTCTAGAAAACCTTTATCTTCTGCTAACAAACAATTGATTAATGTTTTGATGCTGCCTTTAGAACAGAATGGATCTCTCCACAACATCTGGATGTTGATATCGAACCATTTCTTATTAACTAAAATGCACGAGTATAATGTTTTATGATCATCATCTTCAATATATTTAAATATTGGTATTAAAAGTTCTGTTGGTAGATTTATGATAAACATTTTATTTATTTTTTTTTTGATATTCACTTTGATAATTATAAATCAAAACCCATGCATGGACCTACTATAAATGGAACTGCCGATCAATAAAATTATATGGGGACGTGTCAGATTTATGTGACAACGCTTGGTAGAGTAAATTATGCAAATTATGCACCCTTTATTATGTTTTTATAATACATAACATTTCTAATGACTAACTGTTCCAAATTAAGATGACACGTTACATTTACGTTTATCTTATTATTACATAAATATTATTAATAATAATAAAGTTTCTTTTTTCTAGCACTCTTCTTCATGGAATTTGTTCTTCCGCCACTCTCTCAAATAAAAATATTAAAAATATTGGTTATTTGTGGTTACATTTTGATTTTTCACCTCAATCCTTGATAAATATAAACAATGTTAATTAATACAATATCAGTCAGATATTAACTTTAACAAAATATTAATATGGTTAGCTCGGTCTAAAGACACATTCAATAAAAATTTTTTAAAGGTTCCTTACTGCCAAATTTAGTGATGACGGTCAAAGGCTAGCCTAAAGTTAGCAATAATCATAGTGCTGTGAACATAGTAATAGTAAAATACATGTACTAAAAAAGAATAGAACTCTACAACAAACAATTTTTTTACATTACATTATAACTAGAGACCTATTCTATCAACTAATGAGGATATTTTTTTAAAAGGTAGGACAGAAAACGACTTAAATTTTGCACAAAATTTTAGACCAACAAAGAAAGAGTCTGAGAGAAAATGAATAGTAGCTGTTTACATTATTTGGAAAATTTATCATTATCAGCCATTAATATCATTGTTACTAAGTGTTGATGTAATAAATATGCGAGAACAAAAAATTTGGTCATCCTTTATAACTTCACTACAAGCAAGTTGTTTATTTTTTTGTTTCTAACTGTCTCATTTTTTTTACTACTATTAATTTCCTCTTTATATTTTCGTTGACTTTTTCAAATACAAACCAACAACACATTGGTTAATTATTTTAAATCAGTGAGTGAATGTGTGAAACATTCAGAAATAGCACTCAGTCTAATATAAGTATTCGGGGAATCAATGGTATGAAAGATTAATATGAGTTGTGATTACTTGTAAAAACTTGTGAATTAATAGTAGTGGATGAATAAGAAGTATAGAAGAGTACCAGTCTGAAAGCATTCGTGTTTGTTTGTATAGTTCATTCTCCTTATAACAGATCATTTGGCTTAGGAAAAATGTACATTATAGAAAGAAAATTATAGACAGTAATAATTTATATATTAATATAAGACACATAAATTGGGCTTAAATACTCAGTCACAAGATCTGTTATAGAGTAATAATTTATATATTAATATAGGACATATAAATTTGGCTTAAATTCTCAATTTATTATGGAACAAGATCCATTATTATTATTATAGGTTTTCAGACATCTATTCACATTATTAATTACTCAAACATGTATTTATATCATTTTGTAGGTTTTGATGAATAGATGAATTAAAATCATACTTCTAGCACATCTAGATGTTAGTGATTATAAGCTTTAATTCAATGGTCATCATAATAAATGTTTTAGTCAGATTCTTTATTTATTTGAGCTCTAAATATATATATATTCACCAAAACTCAAGCTGTCAAATTGATATAAATTTAATTTTTGATACTTTTGAAAATTCTTATTTTGTTAATTCACCCTTGAGATTAATAGCTTTGTTAAAAAGTAAACATATACAATGATGACTGGTCCATTTACAAGTTCCATAAAAATTGGATTAATGGCTACAAAGATCAACCTGAGTACCTTATATATGAAAAAGTTGTAGACATACTTGCAAAAGTCTCTGCACTTGCCGAAACCTCTTAATGACTATTGAAACTCTGATAAACAATTAGCATGTAACCTTCCAAAACTTTGCTGATTGATTTCTGGAGGAGTTTTGGCAAGCAATCATACTCTGCACTATTACTAATACCAGTCAGATGTCACAAAAAATCAAGAAAGAAAATACGTGATAATCAATCCCCTTGGAAGAGTCACTCTGTGAATTGATTTTCAGTGAAAAATGCTAATAATGATATCCTCCCCCAGGTCAAACTGTAGTCAAGTTCAACAGGGTCTTTTTCTCCTGCTGGTTTTGCCAAGCCCATTCCCTTGGCTGTGGTTTGCTAGATAGTAGATAAGGACATCAACAATTCTAAATTATCCATACTAGTACTAATTGGTAGGTGCATTATTGCCAATATGCCAACCCTTAGAGCCAAATCCTTTTCCTGAAGTTATGGATCAGTAAAACTGAATTTGCTTATCTACTTTGTTTTACCAACTAGAGGCTTTCACCTTGGAGACCTGCTGCGGTTATCAGTATGACTAGGCGTGAGAATAAATCTTTCCCTTGGATCATTGAGAATACACTGGACTCAACCATAAGCATCAAGCTCTTCCAGTAATGGCACCTTATCTCCGATTAATTCAATTCCAGGGTATCATCATAACTGTTAAAAAGAAAAGATAACTCTTCCCAGGGCTCCCACTGATGTCACCAAGTTTACTTGAGATTACTGTATTAATTATCCACATCCTTGTGCAGGAATATTAACCTGCTTCCCTTTTGATAGGCTGGCAGCGAATCACCTTTTAAAATGGAATTACCCTATCTCTTAGGATCAACTAGCCCACGTCCAACTGCTGTTCACATGGAACCTTTCTTCACTTCAGTCTTCAAAGTTCTCATTTAATATTTGCTACTACCACCAAGATCTGCACTAAAGGTTGTTTGACCCAAAATCACTTTCAGGGCTTCTTAGCAAACCTAGTGGGTATAACCTAATGACATATCATAATTATGATATGTCATTAGGTTATACCATTGCAAAGTACAATGGGTTTGCATTTGCATCATACTTCAAAGTATGATGAGTTTGCATTTGCGTCTTACTTTTCATAGGTTATGGCATAGGTTATCCCCACCAACCAGACCCTTTGGTTATGGCTGATTTGAGTTTGATTCATAATTTTAAGTGCTTGTCTGGATTTTTTATTTTTTTCCATAAATTTAAACCACTGCATTGACTTTGATTCCTGCTTTGGGTCCCAATTTGAATTATGATTGGTTTATGAATTTGTCATCATATTTTAGCTCCACTTTGGACTATGATTGGTTTATGGATTCATTGTAATTTTTGAGACCATTATAATGGAGCATTAGTGGCGACATTAAGGGTGGAGTGATCATCATATCAAAAATCAGTTATACAAAATGACTAAAACAATTTTATGTTACATGATTTTATTTTGCAATTTAATAAAGTTATTTATAACAGATAACAAAGTGTTTAAGTACTTCATGACTGTTAGTATTAG